ACATAAGAAATACAAATGCCACATAGCAAGTTCAAATGCCACATAGAAAGTTTCACGCCGCATAGATCTAGAAAATTCAAATGTTCAATAGGAAATTTTAGTGCACGATTGTGCGCAACAAGTTCAAAAGTACAAATAGCAAATCCAAATGTAACACAATAGCAAGTTCAAATGCCACATAGCAAAAGCAAATCCTTTACAAAAATTATTCAGCGTGAGGAGCATTTTTAATGTGCTCAAACTGAGTTGACGACAACCATAAGCAGTATCCTTGACTTTTAGGGTGAAAGTATCACCATAAAATAAAATCCCGAGGATGCTCCTGCGCAAAGAAATTTTGATAAGACTGAAGCAACCAGACATCAATATGCAGCTTGGCTGATGCAGAACATTTAGAGGTATGAATTTGCTTTCATCGATGAGGCTGGTATCATGCTGTTTAAAACGAAGAGAAACCGAGGAAGAGCATGACCGACATAGTCAATGCTTTGTTCCAGTAGTGTAGGGTCGAAGGTGACCGAACCGCAAGATGACATTTGCTGTCACTGTCAGTGACGATGGTGGCCTGGTCTTTCACGACTTTCAAGTAAAGGGAAGGGCAGCTATCATTTCAACCCATCCCTCTAAGAAACTGTTCCAACAATCCCCACAACGAAGTATGCTTACTTTGTAAGTAACAACGCTCGTGTATTAAGGCACGCTTTAAATGGCAACTCATCGATAGGTTGGGGGGTGAAATATCTTTCCCCATGCACACATTTTCTTAATATCTACAAGAACGCTTGTGTTATCATAACCATTCTTTTTTGTTTAAACTTGTTTATTTTCTTTTTCTTTTTTTATCTTTATTGTTTATTTTTTTGCTTCATTTAATAGTTTCGTTTCATCAAATAGACTCGAGGTGAAATATCTTGTCTTACCATATGTGAAAACGTTTCATAATTTGGAAATACGATTTAGTGGCGTGGGAAGCATAGTGGTTAGGCTATCAAACCTGTAATCGTGAGATTCGGGTTTGGGGGTTCAAGCCTTGATTCAGTTCAGCATTGTGTCATTGAGAAAGGCCCTTTAAAAAAAAATTTACCGTTGGATCAGTCCTTTCGGAGATAGACGTTGATCCTGGCTCTTAAATAATCTAATAGCTATACCATTTCACCATTGAAACATCATTATTTGGAAATACGATTTGAAACGGAAACAAGAGACTAAATGATCACTCAGCAAACTCACAGACAAAGGATGGTAACACAGTAGCACTTGCCCAGATGATGGGACAAAAAAACCCAAGCCGTGACTATACTGAACATGGCAGCAGTCTTCAGATCAAAGCAAGCCTATATGCCACAGCGTTTTGTAGTGCAACAATAAGTAAATAAAAGTAAACTTGGCTTTACATTTCATCCAGTTTGTTATATCTATACACCAGAAGTATGCTGATTTTTATCATAACTATTCGTTTCTGTTTAAATATGTGGGTTTATTTTCGGGTTAAAAAAAAACCCAAAACAGTTTCGTTTCACGTGATTTCTCCCTTGTGGCACCACACGGCTTACATCTAACTTTTTCTTGGCCAACCC